TAATTTTGTATTTGTTACCATATTGTTAACATTATTTTGGTTGATTATTTTCAGACTGTTGTGAAAATAACGAAGACGTAGGGAACACCGTCGATCTTGACGAGGAAGTCGTAGAAGACAGTACTGGCCAAACACCTGACGGAAATAACGGCGATGGAAAAGGGAGACGTAAACGCACAGCATTTACGAGCGAGCAACTATTGGAGCTCGAACGCGAATTTCAACATAAAAAATATCTAACGCTGAGCGAACGCTCGCACATCGCCCATACCTTACAGCTAAGCGAAGTACAAGTGAAAATTTGGTTCCAAAATCGACGTGCAAAATGGAAACGTTTGAAGGCGGGAATTGTCAATTCCAGAAATGGTGGTGGAAACAACAATTCTAAACTTGTGGTACCGATACCGGTTCACGTGAACCGATTTGTAATGAGGGGACAGGAACAAAATCGACCACATATGCCAAAAATGTCGATTTCGGGCAACGGCCAGTTCACCCGAAGCAATACTGGTTCAACACCGCCATTGCATACCGTTAGTTCTACAACATATCCGAATTATTCAAATTCAAACCTGGACACGTTAAATGTTGGTTTAAACCAATGAGTGCGCTTTATTGGATTTCATATTTCTTTTTTGCATAGGACATTACTTAAATCCTATATGCGAGACTTTTATTGCCAATTTCGTCCGATTTTACCGGCCTATTTTACATAATTGGCCGCAATTTATGTGAGCGAGTGAAGGTGTGTGTGTGTATGTATAGGGGTGTGTGTCGGGGATGGGTGTGATATGTGTGTGAATATATATGTATGATTTAATTATTTTGTTTTAATAAATCTATTTACATTATATTATTCTAGATTTTATAATATTATTAAAGAAAAATTCCTTTAGAGTTTGCATCTTGGTAATATCTGAAGGATTTTAATAGGTTACGATGAATGAGGCCTACTCACGTTTAAGGTTTTGTGATGTCTCTTAAACTAGTTGAGAAAATAAATTGAATTTTTGTTTTGCAACTGTCAAATGTTTATTATCACTAAATGCTAATATATGATTTATTAAAATAATAAATAATACAATATCTTTTTTTATAGCGCATAATTCCAATTCATCCATGCGCTTTCCATCAATAAACTAGAGTTATGCCTATATATTCTATTTGAACGTTACTATTTATGATAATTATTTTCTGCTAGATAATAGGTTGGTGCTCTTTGAAGATTTTAAATGACATTGTTAGTTTATTCGTTGCTCTTAAGTCTCAATAGAGCATTTATCTGTTTAGTAAAAAATATTCAATTTCAATGTACCAAGATGATACGCAAAATCAATATCAGAATTTCTCGTTTACAGAATATACCTACAAAGCACTGCGAATAAGTACCGGTTTGGATGGCACATTTCCATACAACTACGGCATTAAGTATAATACGTAATACAATCTGTCAGTCAAAACTGGTATTTTATGTAAGCATAATTTTATCACAGAGGTCTAGAAATTCTTTTCTGAGTTTTCTATATTCATACTTCCTGAAAAAATATAAGTGAGTGAATATTATTTAGCAAGATGCTAATTGAAAATATTCATTAGATAAGTATCACGTTTTGATTATTATTTTCTGATTTAATGCGTTGTTGACATATTTTTGTTAGGTGCTGACTTAAGTGTGCAATTTTTTTGGGAGGAAATTTGACTTGTTTAGCTTCTTTCTCAGGGTATGTTGTAAGATATTTTATCGCATGGGAATCACTGTATTTATACAACTAAAAAAGTTGCACGTATCTAAAGAGTTGTTTTAAATGGTATATAGGCCTATTGCAACTACAAGAAATGGTAAGGCGTTGTTATGTATTTTGCGATAATGATGGCGTTGCAGCTCTTAATAAAATGTACTTATGTAGGTTGATGAATCAACTCTCGATGACTTTCCTTTACTTACTTCGAATGTATGGTATTACGGTATAGGCCTATACTGATTTTTCTTTACTTTAAAATGGTGTTATTTTCTTTATTCAATTTCTCTTCCTAACTTTTAATGAAATATAACATTAAGCTAAAATAAAAACATATTC